GGGAAAGAGACACTTTCTATCTTTATATGTTTATTTTTGAAAGGAGATAATTATTAAATTTAGGGGTAATAATATCTAATAAAAAAAAATTAAAAAGACAGTTACCAAAACCTATCTCCTTTGTAATATGTATATATTTTGGTCAATAAAATGATTTATAAAACATAAATGTAATTGTATTAGTTCTTTAAAATTTGACATAAATAATCTTTTAAAATATAAAATATTATTATATTTATCTTTAGGAACTAACTATAATTTAATAAAATTCAGCTTGAATTTCTTAAATAAAATTTTAAATTTAAGTAAAAAAAGTGCAATTAGAAAGAAAATAGTTAACTAAGTTTCATAGTAAAAATAAATTAATGAAAAATAAATACTTTACACTTGTAACATGGTGATTCAAAAATATTTATTTTTACGCAATATTAACATGCTTGGATTTGTTGGGAAAGTCTCAAAAACTCTAAATATATTTTAATTTGGTAAATTTTTTTAAACAATTAATACACACTAATTAAAATTTTGAATAATTTTTTAGTGATTAAAATTTTAAACGACTAATGTGGTGACATGTATAATTTGAAAGAATTAATTAAATAATTTACTATTAATTTTTCAAGCTTTACTTAAATTTAAAATATTTATATAATATAGGAGATATTTATGAATTAAATAAAATATCATGGACATTGGATTAGGAGTAAAATACGAGCATGAAGGGTTCTTTTTCCCTATTATTATAAATTTGTTGATTGTTGATATATATTTTTAAAACACAGTTATGAAACAACATATACAAGTTTTGAAAGTTCTAAAACTCGTAATCATATGATTAATCATAATATTACATTCAAGATAATGGGTTTTCTAGATATACTAAACTAATAATATTATTTTGGATTACTACGTTTGAAATATCTATTAATTTTATTAATTATTAGTCTTTGTTAAGCATCAAAATTTGTGTAATTATTTTTAGTTGAACATGTTTACTACATATTATGTCATTAAATATTACATTATTTGATTAATAAATTATAATTAATATTAAAATTTAACAATAAAAAATATCAACTTAACCATATTTCTTTTAAAATATTTTAATAATAATATACTTTGGATGTAACTCAATTTTATACGGTGAACCAAATTTAAATGTAAGTCTATGGTTCTTGTTTGCATAACTGTTGTATCTGTTTTTGTTAATTCGAACGGAAGGACATGAGGCATATGATGACAATTTTGACCCTAAAATAACTACAAATTCCGACAATATCCCTTATCAAACAAAAGAACCTACGAATCGCATGAAAAGCAGCATTGAGTGGGAGTGTTCCTCTCCTTAACTCGCAAAACAATGTCGCAAACGTTACATCCCTTCGTCGCCAAAAGCCTTGGTTATGGTTAGTGTCTTTCTTTCTAACTCCCTCTTTTTCTCTTTGCTTCATAATTCTTCTCCTTATTGTTACAGAATACAAAGCAAAACAAAAATCAAACCTTAGCCACGCTTAAGTGCTCCACCTTCAAAAACCCGCTTCATTGTTTAGCTTAAATTACACATTAAACATTAGGGCTTTCAATACAGTGTCTCTAGTTGGGTTAATTTTCTTCCTTTTTCAATGAAATTCGCAGCTTTATGAGTTGTGATAGAACCCTGTGACCGTTTCTTCTTTTTCTGCTTTGTTTTAAATGGTTTCTTCACTCCATCATATATGTTGTTTCTTAACTATTGCCCTTGGCTGTTAAGGGCTCCTTTGGGAAATGATATTTTGATTTTTGAGTTTGTTTTGTCTTCTGGGCATTTGTGGTTTTTGGGCTTCCTACTATTGCCCGCCATCTATTTGTTGAACGGTAACGTTATGTCTACACATGGAAACCTTCACAAGGATTTCTCTTGGTGATTTAGATGTTAATTATTGGTTACAGAAGTTAACCAACTAACAATATATGTTTTTTTAACGATGAACATAAGCATTAAACAAATGACAAATGATGGGAACCGATAATTTACATATTGGTTACCAACTTACCGTGTGTAGATATAATACTAGTTTTTGTTTAAATGATGAGTTTGGGTGGTAAGCCATAGCAGTTGTACACTTCCGTTATTAATGGAAGTGCTCTTTTCTCTGGTATAGCGTTGTTCTTTTTCCCCCCTCTAACTACTTTATGTTTGCTTTCATTTTTTTGGGGTGTTGACTGGAAGTGCCTGGAGCTTATTTGTACTTGTGAAAGTCATTGTAGTCAGTAGCGTGCTATATCAGAGCATAGTGGCAGTGGCCATCAAAATTGCTGCTTTTCACGTGTTATAGTGGTACTACCATGGCATAAACAATTGAACATAGGATTCAAAAACCCATTTTTACTCTTGAAATGTTGTGTAGGCTTATTTTTTGGGTAAAACTCTGATTTCTCCCCATTTTTTAATGCATTTCTTGCTTCAGATTTCAGAAACGTAACGAGATTTGAAACCGTTCTTCCTTGATCATTTCACAAAAAAGTTACCTCTGATTTTTTTTTTTTTTTTTTTCCCCATTTTTTAATGCATTTCTTGCTTCAGATTTCAGAAACGTAACGAGATTTGAAACCGTTCTTCCTTGATCATTTCACAAAAAAGTTACCTCTGTTTTTTTTTTTTTTTTTTTGATAATGCAGTTACCCCTGATTTGAACTCTATTCCTTCACACTTTTCAGTACTATTTTTTCCCGTGTTTGGTTGTTTCTTCTTTCTTTAAACATCCCAGTTTACCTTCTGCTAATTTTCATCTATTTTTTTCCAATTAATTTCATCATCATCATCATTGACTTTGACACCATTACTATGTTCTTATTGTTCCTAGATTGATGGTGGTTGTCTATGTAAACTATGACCTATTATTTATCATGAAATTCTTTATTTTTAATATTTATATGTAAAGTATAAATTATTTAGTTTATATTATGACATTTAAAATAGCAGCCATACCGCTTCTCACTTGAGTGTTTTCCGATTTGGCCAGTACGTGCTGCTATCCAAGATAGATAACTATGATGAAAATCGCTTATAACACCTATGTGCTTTGTTAGCTATTTTTGGTAAGCTTGTTGGTATAATTTATGAAAATAAACCCTTTTAGCTTCTTTTTTGAAAAATTTCATAGTCAAATATATAACATAAGCTATCAGGTGATAAAACTTTGTTGAAAATAAATGCTTAATTAAGTCATGTACCCAAACACACCCTAGTCTGTTATTTTTGCTTTTCTGATTGGTTCTGTTTGTCTTGCATTTTGCAATTGTTGATAGTTTTTAGAAGAGTGCTAACAAGTTCTTTGACACACTCCTTCTAACACATTCTTTATTATTGTTTGAAATTTATTAAAAACTACAAAATCGTAAGTGAGACTCATTAAATAAGTTGTAAAACCCATAAAATATTTAATTTCTAATAAATCTCACCCACTAGTAGGGAATGTGTTAAAGAGTAAATGGCTAACATTTTTCTTGTTTTTATATTATATATAATCATTTCCTTCGATGATTATCAGCATCCATTTAGTGAAAGTGAATAATCAAAGTGTAGTAATTAAAATGTTGGTCTTCAATGATAACGCGAAATGAGCTTTTATAGTTGATCATTCTTAGAGGGGCACCAAACTGAAAGGTTGTCTTTTTTTTTTTTTTTTTT